TCCAGCTACTTGGAAGGCTGAGGCTGAAGGATTGCCGGAGCCCAGCAGGTCGAGGTTGTGGTGGCCAGGAGTGTGCCACTGCTCTCCAGTCTGGGCGACTGAATGAGACTCCAACTCAAAAAAAAAGAAAAGAATGGGATGATAGCTGGGTGCAGTGGCTCATGCCTGTAATCCCAGCACTTTGGGAGGTGGAGGCAGGAAGATTGCCTGAGTCCAGGGTTTGAGACCAGCCTGGACAACTTGGTGAGACCTTGCCTCTACAGTTAATCAAAAAATTAGCCAGGTGTGGTGGCACATGCCTATGGTTCCAGCTCGTTGGAAGGCTGAGGTAGAGAGATTGCCTGAGCCCAGCAGGTTGAGGCTACAGTGACCATGAGCTTGCCACTGCATTCTAGTCTGGGTAACAGGGTGAGGCTCCAACTAAAAAAAAAAAAGGGGGTGGTGGTGGTGGTGATGGTGGTAATAGGGCTGTTGTATGAAGTAGTTAAATGAAATAGTATTTGTAATGTTCTTTAAAAAGTACTTGGCACATATAGTAAGCACTATGTAGATGTCTGCTAAATAAGTGGGAAGGTTTTGAGTAGAACAATGTCATCAAACTTTAGTTTTAAGATGATCATTCAGCCTGCTCTCTTGAGAATAAACTGTTCATGGGCAAGAAGTGGAAGCAAGGAAATCAGCTAAGAGGCTGCTACAATAATTATACAAGAGGTGATGGGATCTTGGACTAGGATAGTAATTCTGGAGCTGGTGAGAAGGGACTGAAGTCCAGATGTAGTTTGAAGATGTTGTTGAAAAGATATGTCAGTAGATTGAATGTGGATTGAGTGTAAGAGAAAAGATATTCACAGTGACTCCAAGTTTTAGCTTGAGTGCTTGGAAGAATGAAGTTGCCTTTGACTGAGATATGGAAAATTGCTAGAGGAAAGGTATTTTATGAGGGAGACATATATTCTCGTGTGGAGAGTTTAAGATTTAAATGCCTACTGAATATTCAGATGGAGAACTTGAGTGGGCAGTTGGATATATAAATTGGGACTTTGGGGGAGAGTCTGGGCTTGTTATAAATTTGGGAATTATTATCCAGATGGCATGTAAAGCCATGAGGCTGGATGAGATTACATAAGATTGAGTGTATATAGGGAAGAGGAGAGAGCTGAGAACTTAATCCAGGGCGCGCTGAAGGGGTCAGGAAGAACCTAGATGTGGAGGCCAGAAAAGAGGGTCCCCAGAGGTAGAAGGAAACTTGAGAGAATTTTGTTCCTTTAGGGCTGTTGGACTGAGAGTCTGAGTTCCTAGCTGGCTCTTGACTGGAACCTGCCCTGAATTTTTTTTGGGGGGGGGCAGCGGGGGCACATGGGCCTCTCCAGCATGGCAGCTTGCTTCATCAAAGTGTGCAAACTGAGAAAGCAATGAGAGAAGCAAGACAGAAGTCACGCTCTTGTGTAACTGAATCATGAAGCGACATCACATCACCTTTGCCGTGAGTCACACGGGTCCTACTCATCCTTCAACCGAGGGGATTACACAGCAGTGGATGGGGTTGATAGCAAGTGGGGATCACGTGGAGCCATCTTAGGGTCTTTCTGCCACATTCAGAGAGAACATAGTGTTAGCTCCTGGGATTTTTATCATTCTTACTGTTATTCTGATGGGAATGATTAAGTAGAGAAGCAGATAGAGGAGAGAAAGAATAAAAGTAAAGGAAAGAGGTCTTTGATTAGGTAACAGGGAAAGTTCCGTGCACAAGAGGAGAAAGAGTGAAAGGACTCAGTGGTGGCTAAGTAGTAGACTAGAAGTTCTCTTTTGATGGCCTTTTCTCCGTGGAAGAGGAGGTCAGGTCGCTACCATAGAAAGAGAAGGAAGGAAGAGGGGGTGTTGTGGGTTTGAGAAGTGAAGAGAGCATTTGAATCATCTGGAGTGGGGGAGTGACTTGACTAGAGAGACGTGGTTAATTTACCGGGCATCACTGGGGCTTACTTGGCGCTCATTGCCATGTGAGACCAGTTAGCATGATTGAGTTTGCTCTTCAGCTGGTCATGTGTAAATGTGAAGGGGAGGACAAATAACACACAATGAAGAAATAAGTTAAGAAGCAGTAGAAATTGGCTTTAATCAGTATTAAGGTTCTGCAAGTCAGTATGATGGAGGGAGAGGTGAGCAAGGGAATGATTATGGTGATGGACCCTGTAGTCTAGTTTGATTCAAAGAGAAGTGAGGTCACAGCAGGAAGGTGTTAGTTAGAGCCCCTGAATTGAAGGGTCAGTGGAGTTGTTGGAGTTGAAGTACTGAGGAGAGAGCCAGGAAGGTAGGGGGTTGTGATCAGAATGGTTGCTTGATTGTGGAAGGGAGCAGGTCTTAGGGTATCTAATAGGTAATGTTGTGGACGTTTGCCTCTGACTAACCAGGATCTACTTGCTCTGATGTTGAAAATGAGAAGCAATGAACTTACCAAAGTCTTGATTTTACTTGTGGAAACCACTGTTTCCTCTTTTCAGTCTGTGTGGTTTTTTTTTTTTTTTGAGACAGGGTCTTGCTTTGTCACCTAGGCTGGAGTACAGTGGCAATCATGGCTCACTGCAGCCTCGGCCTCTTGGGTTCAAGTGATACTTCTGCGTCAGCCTCCCAAGTAGCTGAGAATTCAAGCATACACCACCACTCCTGGCTAATTTTAAAAAAATTTTTGGTAGAGGCGAGATCTTACTATGTTGCCCAGGCTGGCCTTGAACTCCTGGGCTCAAGCAATTCTCCTGCTTTGGCTTCCCAAAGTGCAGGGATTACAGGAGTGAACCATGACGCCCACTCCTGTATTTGATTTTAGTGGTGTTGGTTACCCTTTCCCAAAGATGTCATTGACTTAGGATGGCCAGTGAAAGTATCTCATTTCTTGGAACGGGAATAGGTTCAAGGAAAGGCACTTGCCCTAGTGCCATGAGAGACAAATTTTTACTAGGGATTTTTGGGAAGAAGACTTGTGCTCTTCAGGAGTTGCTTCAGCCATCTTGCTATGCCAGAGGGAAGTCTGTCAAGGAATTGAGTCAACAAGGAGAAGAGACTAGATAACGAAAGAGCCCTGCTGACATTATTTGAGCCCTTAATGAAGCCATCTTAACACCTACTGCTGGGATTTTTAGTTATTTGGGTAAATAAATCCTCTTTATGTTCAAGTAGGTTTTCTGTCACCCATAATCAAAGGAGACCTAATGGGTAGATGTTAGTTACTGTAAGGACTTTACCAAATCCTTTAAGCTTGTTTGTATGAATGGGGTACAGTGTAGTTGAAATTGTTATGTTGTGGAATCTTCAAAATCCTGTTTCCCCCTGGATCTTTTACACACTCTTCTTTAGTACATGTACTCTTATGAGAGGCGGTATTGTGTAGTGAAGAGAACAAAAGGCTAATTTGGAGTTAAGTCTTGTGTCTAGTCCTAGCTGTGTTATTTCAACCCTCTGAGCTTCCGTTTCTCTTTTGCAGAGTGGTTGGCAGGATTACATAGGATAATGGATGTGAAATGTCTAGCATGGTGCCTGACACTGTTAGCTCCCTCCCCCTTTCCTCTTTTCCCAGCGCTGGCTATTGTCTGACACACAGTAGTTGTTTAGTAAGCTTTAGTGTAAAGAATACATATATAATTGAACAAATGCCATCAGGGTCTTCTCTTGACCCATCTATGGTCCTGGATTTTTACTGTACTAAGGTTCTGCAATTTATTTGACTAATAGTCAAGTGGGGTTTTTTTTTTGCACATGAATTTTCAGTAGGTAGTTTTTTTTCCTTCCCAGCCTTTGTAGCTGTGACTCAGTTATGTGTTCATGTTCATGTTATCATTCCAAGATTGTCATGAGAAGTAATAACATTTGGCACACATTGAGTACTTGCTTTGTTTGAGGCATTATGCTTTATACTGTATATATAGTGTCTCATTTACTCCTCTAATAGAATAACTTTAAAGGTATGTACTGAGTCCAGACTCTATACTACTTTTTAGAAGAAATAAGGTAAGTTATATAAAGGGACTCAGCGTATATTATTCCCTTTTCCTTTTTGAGAATTAAAATCTTCCTGATGGCATGTGTCCACTTACAGACACAATGTAGTGTATTGGTTAATAACATAGACCCTGGAGTCAGACTGCTTGGTTTTGAATCCTGGCTCCATCTTTACTAATTATATAACCTTGGGTAAATTATATAAGCTAATCTCTGGGTGTCCCAGATTCATCGTCTGTAAAATGAGTGCAATTAACAATACCTGTTTCATAGAGATGTGAGGATTAAATGTGTAATCTATATAAAGTGCTTACAACAGTGTCAGGAAGGTGGTATTATATAAATTAAATGGTAGCTTTTATGCTTAATATTCCTTTTATTTTAGCAGACCCTTCCTCATAGTAGTCAAAGTTACAACCTTACACATAATAAAACTTGATTCTTTTTTTTTTTTGAGTTGGAGTCTGTCTCAGTTGCCCAGACTGGAGCGCAGTGGCCGCTCCCGACCACCGCAGCCTTGACCTGCTGGGCTCCGGCGATCCTTCCACCTCAGCCTTCCAAGTAGCTGGAACTATAGGCGTGCGCTACCATGCCCCAGCTAATAAAATTTGATTCTTGAAGTCATCTCAAAACCAGTGGTATCTCTAAATAATACTATCACTCTAGCCATAGTGTTATTCTCCTCTGAGAAGCCTTTTTTGGTAGCCTTTTTTCCCTCTGACCTTTTATTGGACTTATTTGGGAAGATAATTTAGTGCTTTATTATTGATAGGTTTTTTTGGCCTGTGTTAGCTGTGTGTCACCACCTAGATTGACTTTAAGCTCTTTGAGAATTAAAGTTGTTTCTTACATGTCTTAGGATCTCATATAGCATAAAACATGCAGTGAGAACTTGATAATTAATGATCACTTATTAGAGGCAGAAAAAAATAGAAGTTGTATATCATTTGATGTTTAAAAAGATCTATTAAAATCTATAATAGTCTTATTAGTGTTTTACTTTGTTTTAGGTTCCTAAGTATCTGTCACAGCAATGGGCTAAAGCACCTGGAAGGGGTGAAGTTGGGAAACTACGGATTGCCAAGTAAGTTCTTTACATGTTATTGACACTTTAAGTAGTTGTTTTTGAAATTTTTACAGATGCTTTTAAAGGTGATTATCAGTCAGAAAATTGACTTGGAAAATGAGAAGTAGTGAGCTTATCAAGGTCTTGTCAAGAGATGTCAGGAGATGTGCTTGACCACGCATAGCCCCTCGTGACAGGTGGTGTCAATTTAACATCAGGTTTATTGGTAGCATGTAATGATAGCGAAGCAGCAGAGTATGTAGTTCCCCCATTCCTCCATCTTGTCTACATCTGTAAGCAAGTGTGCTTGGGTTGAGTGTAATTGGATGCATCAAAGAAAGCGCTTCCAGCAGAAGGACTTTGCCACGGTACCACTGTGTCTACTTATAGAGGAGGCTTTGGAAGCGGGTAGGCAATATCGAGTAAGCTGTGTAACAACATAGTTTTTTGGTTAAGGAATGGCCTTGTTAGAAAGGAAAGTCTCCAAAGCCCAGCTGGTGTCAGCAGAGGCCTTGTGTTCTACCTTTCCATCCATTCATTCCTGATACAATGCCAGTCAGATTCCCATGCCTACTCCATTGAAACAGCTTCTGTCTGTTACCAGTATCTTCTCTTTATAGTTAGCTTTTGCTTCATAACAGAGCACCCCCAAACTTAGTGGCTTAGAACAAAAATCATTTTATTTGCTCATCATTCTATGGACCAGTTCTAGTTGGGGCAATTCTGGTTGGGGCTGACCTGTCTGCCTCCTGGGTAGGTTGACCTCACTCGTGTCTGGTTGGCTTGGTATCAGCAGGGGCAATGACCATTTATTTCATGCTCATTCATGTGATGGTGAAAGAGTTCCTAGTAACAAAAGAGAGAGGAAGCCCTAGTACACAAACACTTTGCAAGTCTGTGCTTGTGTTACTTTTGCTAAAGTCTTGTCTAAAGTGACTCACATGGCTGTTGTGCTGAACCCCCAAAGACCCAAAGGGGAAAGCACTGTGTCTGAGAGGCCAAAAAAATGACCAGGAGACAATGGATAAGACATGGGCATTAACTTATTTACAGGGAAGGTGGTCCAGGAGTGGCTGGCTGAACAGGAAAAAAATGCTCTTGATTGGAAAAGGCAGGTTATATGGCATCTTACATAGGGTAGGGTAAAGGGGTATGGTTTCTAGTGCACAGGCGTAGTGTGAGAAGGTGTTCATACATATGTCATGGGTATACAGAATGGCTGTGATTTCTCTCTAGGGGTGAGATTTTTAGTGTTATAACGCTCTAAAGGTGAACTAAAGATAATCTAAGGTTGGGGCATCCATCCAGGTGCGCTGATTGGTCTGAACCAGCTTGGGAAACCGATTGCCTCGAGCAAGGGTACACGAGAACACGCTATGCAGAACTGCAAGATGTGGGCCGCAGGCACGGAGAACATTTCGCTGATGGCATCAGCATGACCTGCATGCCCAGACACGGAACCTGAGGGGATGGGGACATCCTGGTTTGGCCGCCCACAGGATCCCTTCCCCAGGCTCCAGCCCCCTACTTGGGGCCATATCCAGGGTGTGTTCATGCTGTCGCTGAGTGTGTGTTGCCCTAGAGTGCCCAAGCCCGATTCAAGGGTGGGGCAAGAGACTCCTCTTGTTGACGAAAGAATGTGTTCCTTTTTTGTAGTCTGCCACATCCACATTCCTAAATCTGAAAGTCAGCTCGCAGCCCTCTTTCTTGAACTTTAATGGAGTTTGACATAGTTGATTACTTCTTTCTTGAAACTTTTTTTTTTTTTTTTTTTGAGTTGGAGTCTCACTCTGTCGCCCAGACTGGAGTGCAGTGGCCGCTCCCGGCCACCGCAGCCTCGACCTGCTGGGCTCCGGCAATCCTTCTGCCTCAGCCTTCCAAGTAACCGGAATTACAGGCATGTACTACCATGCCCAGCTGATTTTTTTGATTTATTGTAGAGATGAGGTCTTGCTGCCCAGGTGGGTCTCAAACTGCGGGCTCAGGCAATCCACTCACCTCAGCCTCCCAAAGGCGTGGGATTACAGACTGAGCCACCGAGCCCGGCTGAAACTTTTTTTTTTAAACTTCACTCTGGGACACTACTCTCTTCTCTTCTCTCTGTAGCTGTTCCTTCTCAGTCTCTGTTGCTGTCTCCTTCTCATCCTCTCAGTCTCTAAATGTTATGTGACTCCAGGGCTCAGTGCTTAGTTCTTTTCTTCTTCCTCTTTTCACTTCCTAGGTGGTCTTATGGCTTTAAATACCAGGAGGTATTTAAATATATAGTTGAAGACAGTTCAGGGCCTGCCTACCTGCCTGTTCACCTTTGCCAGCCTCCTGTCCTCCCTGCCAGTACCATACTCAGGAAGATCCTGATCTTCTCTGCCTCAGGTGCCCTGCCTGTGCCTTTCCTCATACTACTCCCAGAATCAACCACTGACCTACTAGAGATGACCACTAGCTTAGGTTAACTATGGACCTAGGTTTAACCATTCACCTAGACTTAACTATATACTTAGAGGCAGCAGTGGACCTAGAGTTGCCCACAGATATGGATCTGAAGAACACACTGGCTTTTGAATTCTCTACTGATGTAGAGTCAGCCACTTCCGGCTTTGTAGACGAAATCACTGAGTCCACATGGTTAGAATACAGTCCACCCAGAGAACTGTGTGAGTGAGATTGTGATGTGAATGTTATTCGTTCCAAAGAGCCCATGATCGGAGTAATAGGTCAGCCCAGCACCTCCACAGGAAGCCGTGAGTCCACCTCAGTGCATATTTAAAATGAGTCAAATTCTCCATTACCTGTGACAATCACAGGTTCTGAGCTTTAGAACAAGCCTGCAGCTACACTCTAGGAGATTGCATAATTGTAGAAAACTAGTGACATATTAATATTAACCTGAAGAGACACAGTAAGACATTGATCCTTAGCTGGGCAGTGTGAATTGTACACAGATGAGGGAGGGGAGTTCCTTAGCTGTGTTCCATTTTAATATGGCTCAACAAGTGTTCGTTTGAATTGAAAATAAATAAATATATAAAAATTTCAAGGCTGGCCTCTTCCCTGAATTCCAGATTCAGAGTTCTGACCTCCTCCTCAGTGTTTTCACTTGAGTGTCTCAGAAGCATCTCAGGCTTAATTATTGCTCTTCTTCTGTCCTTTGTCTCTGGAGCACTCTTTTTCTAGATATCCCTATGACTTGTATCCACATTTCCTTTAGGTCTGTGCTCAAATGTCAGCTCATGGAGGTCTTTCCTGCTGTCCCTGTATAAAATAGCAGCCTGTATGTTCTGCCTTCCTTACCCTTTGCTTATCTCCATTCTTTCTTGCAGTTGATATTTATCCACCTCCTACCGTGCCATCTGACGTAGTGTTTTTCATTTCTTTGGATCAAGGGATCTCTCAGTATCCACAGGGGATTAGTATTAGTAGTTCCCCAAACCATGTCAGTACCAGAATCCATGATCCTCAAGTCCCTTATATAAAATGGCATAGTATTTGCATATAACTGACACAAATTCTTCTGCATACTTTAAGTTATCTCTACTTAATACAGTGTAAATGCTATGTAAATAGTTGTTCCATTGGTTTTTTGAATTTGTATTTTAAAATTATTTTTCTTTCAAATATTTTTGATTGTGGTTTGTTGAATCTAGGGATGAAGAACTCATGAACACGGAAGCCCAACTATAATATTTCTTTTTCCTCAAGGAATGACTGACAGCGTGTTTAATAGTAGAGCCAGGCTTGAATTCTGGCCTTGTAGTGGTAAGAAAACGCCAGCAGGTTCTAATTCTAACTTGATAACTGTCAGTGAGACATTGTATAGGTCACTGAATCATTCTGAATTTAGATTTCTTATCCTTAAAGTTGCTTGTTTTGCAGGGCTTTTTTGTGAATTCAGTGAGATAATATGGAAATAGTTGCTGTTGATTTGTATATTTAACTTTATAAGATGAACATATTCCTGGAAAGTTGTAGATAAGTCACATTTTTGTGGGTTCTCATACTTTTATTGAGAGAAAAAAGAATGCATACTTTTGTGTTCTGTGGTGGTTTTTTTTCTTAATGTGAAATTCTTTGGAGTGCAGTTGATTAGCTACTTTTCTGTTAATGAACTTAAGAAGTTTTCTTGAGTTGGGATCTCCCACTGTCGGCCAGGTTGGAATGCAGTGGCGTGGTCATGTCTCACAGCCTCAGCTCAGGCGATCCTTCCATCTCAGTCTCCCAAGTAGTTGGGACTATAGGCATGTACCACCATGCTTGGCAAATTTTTGATTTTTTTGTGGAGACAAGGCCTTGCTATGTTGCCTAGGCTGGTTTTGAATTCCTGGGCTCAAGCAGTCCTCCCACCTCTGCCTCTCAAAGTGTTGGGATTTAGGTGTGAGCCACATGCCTGGCCAGACTTTTTTATAATTAGTTTTTTTTTTTTTTTGAGTTGGAGTCTCACTCTGTCACCCAGACTGGAGTGCAGTGGCCACTCCCAGCCACTGCAGCCTTGACCTGCTGGGCTCCAGCGATCCTTCCGCCTCAGCCTTCCAAGTAGCTGAAACTACAGGTGCGCACTACCATGCCTGACTAATTTATAATTAGTTTTAAAAAACATATCTAATTTTATTTTTTTGAGTCAGGGTCTCTTCTGTCACCCAGGCTGGAGTACTGTGGCACAGTCGAGGCTCATTACAGCCTTTACTTTCTGATCTCAGGTGATTCTTCCACCTCAGCCTTCCAAGTAGGTTAGGCTACAGGTACATGCCACCACACCTGGTTAATTTTTGATATTTTGTAGAGATGAGGTGTCACCATGTTGCTCATGCTGGTCTTGAGGCTTAAGTAATCCTCCCTTTTCAACCTCTCAAAGTGCTGGGATTACAAGCGTGAGCCACTGCACCCAGCCTATCATTAGGTTTTACTGAAATAGGAGTCATCATCAAGATAAAATGTCAGAAATGTGTATCACTGAAGAATGACAGGCTAAACTGGAGAGTGGTTAACGATGATGAACCTTGTGGTATTGTGGAGTGCCTTCACTG